AAAAAACAATGCGGTTGGCAGTGCATCGATCAAAAGAGCCGTGATGCTTAAGAGAAACCAACAACTGTCATCATACGACAACACAGGTCACAGCTCACAACGAGGAAGTCATGAACAGCAAAACAGCCCCAGAACTTAAATTGGCACATTGACTGCTACACAACTGATTTCACATAACGCAGCATTTATGCAATATTTCCAGGTTTCGAGTGCTAATTCTAATTGCTACAGTTAAATCTTAAGAAAAAGACAAATATAATGGATAAGATTACAGACTTTTGAAGATTAATACGGAAAATGCCAGTCATCCAGTTCTTCCTGTTGAATACTGTTTTTAACTTAAAACGTCAAGCTTCAGACAGTTACAACTTGCTAACAGAGGTGATTTCGAGCTTGAGGCAGAAAAATACCTATATCTGATCACTTCGGATTATACCAAACAGATATGTTCCACGAATGCGAGGGTCTATGTTTATTAACGTAATTTGACGGAAGTACCGAAAATGAAAGGGGCGCCGAATCGTGAAATTTAAAGTGACAAGTAATGTATCAGAATAAATAATACTTCAGATTTTTGATTTTGAGCCCATTATTAATAGAGATCTGTGGCTGAATTATTCACGGATCAGGGCAGTAAATACGACAAATGGTATAACAGTTTATTACCGACGCGTTTCGCAACATACACAGTAGCCTCATCAGGGTTAGGCTAAGTAAAAATGATTGCTTGAAGACACTTATGTCCTATACGCGAACAACACTTTACAGTCAAAATGTTATTAAACTGATCAGTCAAAATGCTAACCAATGTGGTAGAATAGCCAATAAAATGAGATGAGACGCATTTAGAACTGTAGGTGGTAAAACAACATGAATCCGTCATGTTTCTACGTGTTGGTCCTATGCAGCTACAATCAACGTGCACTTCAAAAAGATGTCAAATACTGTTTTCGAGCTATCATAGACAAACTTTTATTCAAGCTGGAATCAATGAGCTGCGGGGAGGCTTCAGCTCAACATTTCATACGGTATCACAACAATCATCTCAATTTTGAGACAAAGGACTGTTAGAAAAAATGTTGAATTTTCAGCCATTAGTTTTGACTTCTTTGGATATTATGATTACTGTATCATCCACGTATCACAGATCAATTTCTCCGTAGTAAGAAAGCAGTGGTGAAGCTTTCAAACTACCGTCAAATAACGGTTTCACAAGGCAGATTTAGTAACGTTGGCAAAAACCTAATTCCCCGAATGACACAATCCTTTGTTGGCATGCTTTGGTAAGAGAGAATGTTAATGAATTTTAACCGCTCCAATCCAGGTTCTACATCGTATGAGACTACCGCATGCAGATCTTCGCATAACAACAACCCATTTGGAGTTGAGAGGTGGTTAAATCGCTTCGACAGTTAAGTTGTAATACACGGCAAAAAAGAATATAACCTCTTTCTGAACAGCAAATTTAAGCTGTCGATAAAAAGGAGTCGTTCATCCTTATATTTTTTAAAATGGGGCCATTTCTGACGCCGCTCCTTTCATGAATTTAGAGGCGAAGTGAGGAGATCCATCGTCATGCCGTCGGCTAGGAAATGATTATTTTTTAAAAGCACAGTCGATACCAGCCACGTGTAAAGCATAATGCATAGCTTCATAGTTCTTTCCCTCTAGGTGGTAGGCATTTATCAACCTCGGAAGAAAAAAGTGAGTGATCTGGCAGTAACTCAAACACCGGACATGTCGATTCCGAGTGCGACGCTCGACTAATTCAGCGACCCCCGTCTAAACTCCGCATGACTGTTCATGATGATAAAAATAGTTATCAGAACAGCTGTGAAAAATTAAATTTGTAGTCACATTCACGAAAAAATGTCTTTTAAACAAAACAATACGTTATTGCAGTAAAACGAAACGAATGTTGAAAGCCTTGCGACAAAACGAATAAAAATAAACGAGGAGGTTTCTATTTAGTGGTGGCTCCACCTGTGGATGGCATGTTGTGGATTTCAACTAAGTCAATGATTTGCACGCTTTCGACAACCTCAAAGGACTCTAATGCCATCCAACAAGCGCAACCCTTATCCGCGTAGAGCAACATCCCATTAGGTAACTCGCCTCACAGAAAGCATGCATAAGGTTTCCGTCACACTCTTCAGTAGCTTTAACGCTGCCAACGTTCCATCAGAAAAATTCGTCAGCACTCGCAGTTCGACGTAAACGGTACTACACACAAATCCATAAAAAAATATTATTTTAAAAAGAACATTACGTTTTCCGGCTCCATTCCAATCGCGATTCGATCACGGCAAAAGTCGATCACCTCCTGATTGGTCAATACATCCCAAATACCGTCGCATGCCAACAAAATAAACTCGTCATCATCAGTGATCTTCCTCGAAATCACGTCCGGATAGGCTGAGTAACAAACAACAATACAGGAGTCAAATACATCACATATGCTTGATTTAGTACCGACGACGATTTGCTCCTGTGGGGATTTCTGCTCGTTCTGTTTGTAGATAAAATCGCCCAGGGCGCGAGACATCGCTAAGTTTCCGTTGACGCGGTTGAATTCCACAAAACCGCCCGCCGCGTAGATACGCTCGCTTTCGGGCTCATTCAGCGGCTTGTGGTCAACGCTAAGCGCCTCCGCAAGGCCGCAGTGGCTAATGACTGCTCGCGAATCGCCGACGTTCCCCTGAAACCAACAGTTGAAAAAAACAAAACATGAAAATCAACAAAGCATGCAATCAAATATTCGTTAGGCGCTGTGCATAACAACAGAAAAACGAATCTATTAACAACGAGAGTCACCTTCGACCGACTTTACCAGCGTACAACTATATGCCAAAACTGAATTCATCCACTAGCCCCTAAATGAAGGAACTTGATCGACAAACTTCTCTTGAGAAATTTCCAGCGTAAATTTGTTGACTTACTTGTATACTCAGCTGAAAAGTCTAACCATTGTTAATGTCGACAGATATTACTGTAGGATAACAATTTTTTGGCTTTTTCTGAAATCTGATAAACCATTAGCATACCGGATATTATATTTTTTTATGTATTTCACTAGCATTATTCATTCATTTAGACTTTAGTTATGTACCTTCTAATAGGTTAAAGGATTTTGTTTAAGAAAAATTTCACTCTGATACAACACTGCAGATACATGCTTTGTCTGACCCAGCTGCAAACGATTCTTTAAAAACAACGCAGTCGTGGAAGAAGTAATGGCGAGAAATATTTCATGTATGTATGTAAAACATATAGAACTTCACAAATTCAATCTTGTTACTATAACGTAAAAAGGATAAGGAACAAAGTAGGGGATCACATGGAAAAAAAGTACGCTAAAACGTATAGTAATAAGCCATGAAGATTTGCAATAAAAAAGCAGTAGCATTAAGATTGACAGACTTATTTATGCGTTAAAGGTAATCAGTCTAGAAGACGCTCAATTAGCAAATCCAGCTCGAAACTCTGAGAGATACAGTTCATATTAATATCCATAGAAGGGATCCTGAAATCTTTTCATCATGCTGGCTATTTTCTGAACAAAAACTGATGATTCATGAATAAGACCGCAAAATCAACACCATGACAGATGACTTGAGAAAATGAATAGATAACCAGATATGTACGCAGACAGACAGATATATAAAAAGGCAGGTAAAAAGGTAGGTAGAAAGATAAACAAGTATAGTGAAAACAGAAAACGTGCTTACAGAGACACTGACAGATATGAGACAGATAGGTAAACAGACAAGTAGATTACAATAAGTTAATTAGATAAACTGAGAAATATAAATACAGCTAGATACGTAAATGGACAGATCATATAGACGGAATATAGGGAAAGAGACAACTGCAGATAGAGAAAAATAAGCCAGCATCAAAAAAGTGACAATTGGACACAGATCAATACAAAGAGCAATGTAAATATAGAAATCAGCTAAGACGGGCACAGAAACACAAAGAAGGATACATATAAATACTAAGAGGGACAATAGACAAAAGTATGGTGGACTGCTAGACACTGAGTACAAAATACACGTAAAAATAGACAGAAATAAAGAAATAGACCATGAAATACAATGTTTGGATGGTGAAAGAAGAAACGTAGAAAGATTCCAGAAATAATCTATAACAGAGACGGACAGAACGATAGAATAGTCCGACTGATAGAAATACAGAAGCAAAAAGAAATAGAGACAAACAGAGAAACAAAGAAATAAATTATACATAAGGATACTTAAATAAATACACAGAAAAATACAGAGAAAAATATTGCATCTTGTACATTTCGAATATGTGCACTTACGCAGTATAACGTGTCGTTCTTAAGCATCACGATGTTAGCCGTTGTTCCAGCATATCCGGCACGAATTTCAGCGTCTACAATGCAAATAAAACAAATAAGCACAAGTTCGACGCACAGCCCCTATAAGAAAACTACGATATGCTTCTAACTATAAAATTTTGTGACCAAGTTGTGTGCTGGAACAGAAAAAAGTGGCTTTCAAAAACGCCTCATCGATACAAGTCGGTATAATTATTGCCATATTCTGGCGGGTTATCAGGAAAAAGAAAACATCACCATTACGGCTGGTTAAATCTCGTAATCCGGAAATGGAACTGAAATCGATTCGATGACTAAAAGTTGATATGATCTGTGCCACCTAGAACCTGTGTATAGTCTCTTATTGTCTGTTAACCGGTCGACCATGTGGCATCATCTTATTAACCTACTGACCTTTGCACATGCGGTTTAAAATGTCCAATAATGTC